ACTTTTGGCATCATGGAAATTTGAAAATAATCTATTAGATTCTGCAAATAGTTATAATGGTTCTATGAGTAGTGTTCCATCATATATATCTGGTTATGTTGATCAAGCATTGATAGTTAATAGTGTTCAATATGTAACTGTTAGTTCATATTTAAGTTTTTTTAGTCGTTCATTTACAATTGAAGCATGGATTTATGTAACTAGTTTAATTTCATCAGTTGATTATGGAATATTTGGTCAATACCAAGCAGCTACTACTCGACAATGGCTTTTTTGTATTATTAGGTCAAACAAAATGTTTTTTGGATTTTTCAATGATGATGTTGGTGGTTCAACAACTCTTTCTACAAATATTTGGACACATGTTCCCTAGACTGAAAGGCTAGGGTCTAGAAACCGAAATTCACCTGTGTCTGTCTGTCTGTCTGTCGGTAACGCGGTCAAAATGGCCATTTTTTTGGCACACGTGACCATTTTTATGGCATAAACGACCACTTTTTTGGCACCAGTGACCATTTTTTGTGGCACAAATGGCCATTTTTTTGGCACAAGTGACCATTTTCGTGGCACAAATGGCCATTTTTTTGGCACAAGTGACCATTTTTTTGGCACAAACGGCCATTTTTTTACTAAAATTAACTAGGTAACTATGGTACAAATGAGCATGTAACTATGGCACAAACGGTCATTTTTTTGGTAGAAACGACCACATAACTATGGCACAAGTGACCATATAGCAACCATGGTACAAACAACTATTCCGATAACTATGGTACAAATGACCATCTAAAGACTGATGTAAATGAACCCATAATAATCATGGGTAAAATGTCAATGGAATAACTATAATTTGGGTAGTGATGTAAAACGGCTTACTTACACAAGCATTTAATTAGTGAGAGTCAGACCAAATGAGCAGTATGGATTTAAAGAAATCGTTTAAATTATTCATTATTGTAAGATTGATTGTGCAATGTTGTATCAATGAATATCTAATTTATTAATAGTTTAGAATTAATGCGTGAATTTAAGCATAAAATATTGATTAATAAAACTCAAATTTTATGAATAATATAATTCATATTTTTGTACGTACAAATAGCGCCAATATAATTATAAAAAAATCGTATTGTTGTCTAATCTTATTGGGCGCTATTTATATTCATAAAAGCAAAAAAAAAATTAAACAAAAACGATTAAAAAAAATTAAATTTGCAAATGCATCATCTTTACTTAGAGTGAGAATTCTCCAAATTAAGTTTTCTGGTCGCCTAAGATATAATGGTCATATTATCAATGTTGCGTATTACTTTTTTAATGTAGCTTTTTATGCTATTCCATCCGTACATGTATTCTATCAGTCTAGGGCTAAGTGAATCGCTTGACGATGAACGTTACTTGTAGCTTTTGTATATGATATAAGTACTAATACTAAAATGATTTATTTAAATGGAGTATTAGATGGAAGTACAACTACAGGTAGTTCATATCAAGGAACAACTGGATCGATGTATATTGGAAAGTCAGCTTCTGGTGGATCTGTCAATCCTTTATCTGGTTATATTGATCAAGTAAGTGATTGTATTTCTAACAAATATTCAGAATTTATAATTTTTACAGAAATAATATTTCTTTTTGAGGATCATAGTTATTATTTGAATTATATTAATAGCAGAAATATTTACTTTTTAGCATAAAATTAATTCAAAGAAAATGTTATCTATGACTTATCTTTTCAATAAAAGAGTCGCATAAATATCTTCACGGATGAGTTAGATTTCAGAGATTCGCACATGTTATCGAACATGATCGCCTGTTTGAGACAAAACTCAATAGACCGCCTATATATCATAGATTTTCTAAGTTTAAAATAAAAAACTTCGTTTTTTGAGCAAAAACATTGAAATATCTTTATTGCTGGAAGATGAGAAATGATTCTTTGGTTTACTATTTTGACTGGACAAAATTACCAGTAATAATAGATTATTCATTGTATATTTATTTATTCAGTTTATTTATCGGTTTCACGAAATTGACTATTCACACTTTCTAATCGATTTTAATTATTTTCGATGAATTTTTAGATAATTCTTATAGTTTTCGAATTCATATTGATACATCGTAATATGACATCACTTAATAATATTCTCTTAGTCTTTTATTTTGTTCATTCTCAATCGATACGTAGTTTTTGCATGAAAACTTCTTGTAAATTGATGACAAATCTTATATATATATATATATAATTAATCTTTGAAGTTCTTTAATAAAATATTGTTATTTTCACTAAAAATTTCTATAAAAAATTGCTTGTAATTAAATAATTTAATGAATATTATAGGTAACAATAAGTAATCGAGCAAAAACAGCATGTGAAATATTAAATGATGTAACACTTGTTTCTTATTTTTCATTTGACAATGTTACAACTGATTCTGGACCAAATACTCTTTCAAGTTATATAACATTACAAAGTAATAGTGGTGTATCATTTGTTACTGGTCGTGTTGGTCAAGCATTAATATTATCAAGAACAAATGCTTTTTTTCAAACTTGTGGTTATTACTGGCTTGGTCATAATAATCGAGCATTTTCATTTGCATTATGGATTTATCTAATATCTGTTGGAGGTACAATTCTTCATTTATCTTCCGATCGGTCAGGTTCAGGTAGTTGGTGTTTACCTAAACTTGGTTTTTCATCAAATGGATCAATTGCTGCACAATCATGGAGTGGTTCATGTGTTGTATCTGTTGTTGGTCCTCAAATTCCGACTAATAATTGGACACATATCGTACAAACATGGAGTAGTACAAGTGGACTTAGACTTTATATCAATGGTGGCCTTTATGGATCTTTTACAATGACTACATATGTTGCCAGTAATCAAAATATGTGTATTTTTCTTGGAACAAGTGGTTTCGAAACTAATTGTCAGACATTAAATATTATTATGGGTTCGTATTCAGGTCGAATCGATGAATTTTATGTTTATGATCGTGAATTAACAGAAAATGAAATATGTCCACTTGCACATCCTTATAATTAACATAAAAGATTTTATCTGAAAAAATGAACAAAAAACTTTGATTATTCAACTTTTAGAAATAATCAACTATTATCGGAATTTTAAAAAAGGCTAGTGGGTAAAATGCTCATAACTTTTGAAGGTAATGTGATAGAGACCTGCGGTTTTCACCGTTGGAAAGCAGAGATCAAGGTACATCGAACTGTATAATAAAGATTTTTCTGACATGGTTTTATCTCAATTATTAAAAAAATCGATGCTTTAACAAGTTGAAAAAATTGTGAAAAAAGTGTTTTTTTTTCCGGAAATTTGTTGAAAACCTAGATAGAAGCTACCAGTAAAATGAATATAACTCCTGAGCTGTAAAAGATACAGACCTGGGGTTGGTGTAGGATTGTAGATCTCGATCTAAGCTATCGATTTCACTGTTAGAAAATCAAAACCAAATATACTTTCAGAGCATGGGAGCCTCAACAAGTTTGAGTTTGAACATTACCAGGATAAACTGTATCTGATGGTCTGGTTTTTCCATACTGTTACGTGCCATGTCAGACTCTATCCAATGGTGAAAACCGCAGGTCTCTATCGCCTTCCCTTTAAAAATTATAAGCATTTTACTCACTAGCTTTTTTTTAAAATTCCGATAATAATTTATACAACATTTCTAAAAATAATCTTGCCAAAAATGTTTTGTTTTTGTTT